TCAAGCTCCGATCCTATAATTCGGTTCATTAATCGTTGAAAAGTTGCAGGTGAGAAACGGTCTAAAAGGCAATTTTAGGAACAATTTGGGTTGTTTTGCCGTCTTTAATGCGGTTTTCAATCAAAAATACGCCAGGAAAAGAGAGAGATGTGATGCCGTTCGGTTTACACTCCGCACCTGCAAATTTTCAACGATTAATGAACCGAATTATAGGATCGGAGCTTGATAACTTCTGCTTCGCCTATGTGGACAAAAAAAAAATACGTAACTTCGTTACAAAGTAAAGGATCAGTTCGCTCTTTGTTGAATTATATATTACAAAGAAAAAAGGAACTATTACTTCTGAATGAAAATATGATGCTTTATTTCTTGTGTAACCCTGCCCTGTATTTGTATTATGTAGTTAATATCTAAAATAGTAGAGTTTTACCTATTAGGAATAAAATGGCAATCCGACAACGCTGTTTAAAATCGTTTCTGAAAATATAAAATGATGATTTTTAATTTTGAATTTCTCAGAAAATGATCGTTTCTTTTTAAACTTTTTCAAATATCTCCAAACAGGCCGTGTTGCCAGATTTATCCGTATCTATCAAGTTTTGAAAAATATTTGAACAACTTTTCTTATTTTCCCATTATTTAAATTTTCCAGTTTCTCAATTTATTTTTTTTGTTATTTTTGTTCTTTTTTTTTTAGTTTTTTTACTTTATTTTTCATTTTTTGTTTATTCCAGACTCTTGAACTTTCTTATTTTTATCGTTTTCCTAAATTTCAATCTCTTTTCTATCTACTTGCAAAACTTCAATCTAGTCCTTTCAAGATTTTTCCGTCAATATTATTTTTTTTTTAAAATTCAATATTTTACACATTGACACCCACACACAATTTGCTTTATAACTTTGTTAATTTCAATCCGATCTTAACGTAATTAGGCTCAAAATAAAGCCAATTAAATTGTCTTTAAATTCCTTGTGGTTTTGATGCAGATTCAATGATTTTGAAGCTGCAAGGTTTTAAAATCTTTTGACTTCAAGTTTTATCAAGGTGAGGAGGCAGGAGGAAATTTGTATTTTTTTTTTTCTTAAATTTTAATTTTTTCTCTATGCATTTGCAACTTTTGAATGCAGTCTTTCAAAAAATTATCCCTCAATGTCGATTTTCGTAAATGTCCTTATGATTTAGATTTTGGAAAAATTTGAAAGGTTATAACTTTTTTTCTATTATAGATAGAAAGCTGAAACTTTCACTGAATTTCATCCCAACTAAGGGATTACAATCCCTGAAAATTTCAGCTCATTTGCACTTATAGTTACTGAGATAAAATCGTGTTAAGCAATTTGGGGTGATTTATCAATTTTTGAATTTTCCTAAGCGCCTTTTTTCATAGATTTCGGCTTCAAATCTTAAAATAATTTAGCGTATAGGGTTAAGGGGGGTCTAGGTACAAAATTTTCGAATTGCATCATTTTAGTAAAAATTTATTTTTTATCATTTTTTATACAAGCTGGTGGAAAAAGACATGAATACACTCACTGCACACTTACCATTACTAAACTAAACCTTACTAATTCCAGTATAATTCGCTTTAAAACTTTTTGCCTTAATTGACACTGTCTCACATAAATAGAAAAAGATAGCTTAATTGTAATGAATACAACTTAAAAAGTAATAGAACACAACATGCAGTATAGCCAGATTTTATGTTGCAAGTGTAGGCCATATTATTCCCATTTCAAAAAAAGTGTGAAGTGTTTTACAAGGTCCTTAATGAAACACTGCATTTTTATTTTTTGCTAAATGTTTCATCTAGAAACACTGCTGTGAGCTCAGGGACCGGATTCCGAACCTACGATTGGATAGTATCGTCCATATAAAAAAGATAGACCATACTGTGTGAGTTCGGAATCCGGACCCAGAAGTAACTATTGAGTTCCGGTTCTATAATTCGGTCCATTATTCGCTGAAAAGTTGCAGGTGCGGAGTGTAAACCGAACAGCTTCACCCGGAACTGAAAGAGGCCTAAACCGGTTACTGCTTTCACCGTGTCAGTTCCGGTACTATAATTCGTTCCATTAATCGTTGAAAAGTTGCAGGTGCGGAGTGTAAACCAAACGGCATCACCCGGAACTGGAAGAGGCCCATGCCTGGTAAGGTAAAAGCAGTAACCGGTAGAGATGCCACGAATATTCGGCTACTATTCGGTATTCGGCCATTTTTTTTTTGTATTCGGCATTCGGTCGAATAGTATTATCCGGCCGAATATTTGGCCGAATACCGAATGCTGAATAATGAAAAAAAAAAACGCACATATTACTCAAAAATGTATCTATTTAATAACAAGTCATAATGAATCTAATACTTAATATCTATTAAATAGGCGACTTTTTATTAATAACTGGTGCTAAACTGATAAATAGTAGTACTTGAATAAGTAATAACGTGCGATCAAAAGAATATAGCTAATAATGCGTAAAATTGCGTATTGTAACACTATATATTCTCAAGTGAACCAAATTCCGTCGTTACCGGAGGCGACGCGATAAGAATGAGACAGGTCTTAGGTGTCGTATTTTCGAATATTTTCGCATACGAAATTTGATACGATTTCGAATGCTCCACATTTAATTTACATTACTGTCAGTCAAATTTCGTGTACGAAGTGTACTCGAATGAATTCGAAAATACGACCCCAACCTGTTGATAACGCCCAAAACCCACACGAATATTCGGCGGCAGAATATTCGGCGCTACAAACGAGAGCTTGGCCGAATATTCGGTATTCGGTATTCGGCCAAATTACTATTCGTGGTATCTCTAGTAACCGGTTTGGGCCTCTTCCAGTTCCGGGTGATGCCGTTCGGTTTACATTTCGCACCTGCAACTTTTCAACGATTAATGGACCGAATTACTAGCTACTTAGGAAAGGAGGACCTGGTATTGAACCTTATTAATTTAATTGCCGATTCGATCGGATGTTTATTGCAATTCAGCAATAAATTAATATAAATAGTGGGCCAAGCCGAGCAATCGACAAACTTGAACCAGTCTTAGTACCGCCATCCTGGGAACACCCCTCTGAAACCAAGTCTCCCCAGTGCAAGTACCACCACCCTGGGAAAGCCCCTCTAGATCAGTTAAACGACGACGAAAATTCTACGTAACATTAGCATCAAACAGATATTCCTTTCTAAGTAGCGTCAAACGTGTGGCCCTTCTCACAGAAGAGCATGTAAACTCTGTCTAACCAAAGTTGAACGTTGAAGGTCACTCACTCAAATATATCACAGACGTTGCTTTTTGCTGCTGTCTTTATTGCACGCGCACTGTGTTTATCAAACCAAAATAGGTCCAAGGACGAGTAAGTGATCTTCAACGTTCAACTTTGGTTAGGCAGAGTTTATCAAGGATTCATGATGTAACTACTTCTTAGCATACATATTTTTATATAAAAACAGAGCGAGTTTCTCTTCATCTATCTACCCTACACCCCCCGTCACAGAGAAGCTGTGACAATTCGACCGGAACTGGCACGGTGAAAGCAGTAATAACCGGTTTAGACCTCTCCAGTTCCGGGTGATGCCGTTCGCTTTACACTCCGCACCTGCAACTTTTCAACGATTGATGAACCGACTTATAGGACCGGAGCTTCTGCTTCGCCTATCTGGACAAAAAAAAAATACGTAACTTCGTTACAAGGTAAAATAATGCAAATATGACGCGAGCACGAGAATAATCCGCTTCTCATTAACTGCTCACCTCCCGATTCTCAAGATATGTTTTATTCCTTGTGTCACCATGCCCTGTATTTGTATTATGTAGTTAATGTATCTAAAATAGTAGAACTTTACCTATTAAAAATAAAATGGCAATCCGACAAATTTTAATGATGAATTTCTTCTTTCCTTTAAACTTTTTCAAATTTATCCAGACAGGCCGTGTTGCCAGATTTATTTATATCTATCGAGTTTTGAAAAATGTACCCACACACAATTTGCTTCATAACTTTGTTAATTTCAATCCGATCTTAACGTAATTAGGCTCAAAATAAAGCCAATTGAATTCTCTTTAAATTCCTTGTAGTTTCGATGCAGGTTCAATGATTTTGAAGCTGCAAGGCTTAAAAATCTTTTGACTTCCAGTTTTACCAAGGTGAGGAGGCAGGAGGAAATTTGTATTTTTTTTTTTTTTAATTTTAATTTTTTCTCTATACATTTGCAACTTTTTAATCCAATCTTTCAGAAAAAAAAACATCCCTCAATGTTGATTTTCGCAAATGTCCTTATGATTTGAATTTTTGCTAACTTTAAAAAATCATAACTTTATTCTATTACAGATAGAAAGCTGAAATTTTCAGGGATACTTATCCTACTAGAGGACTACAATTCCTGAAAATTTCAGCTCATTCGGACTTACAGTTTCAGAAATAAAATTGCGTTAAGCAATACTTTAATGGAATTTGAAATTTCATCATTTTAGTACTAAAGTACCTAGGTACTTTAGGATTTGGATTTTTAGAAACTTTGGAAAATCATAACTTTTTTTTCTATTAGAGATAGATAGAGTCCTAGTAAAGGACTACAATTCCTGAAAATTTCAGCTTATTCGGACTTACAGTTTCAGAAATAAAATTGCGTCAAGCAATAATATGGGGTGAATTATCAATTATTCAATTTTTTTTCGTAACTAGATACAAAGGGTGGTATGAATCAAAACGAAGTACTTGCTACTACTACAAGTATTAGAATGTTCTACGTAGTATTTACTCCAAAACGAAATAGATACTACATTTCGAAACTACCGGAAATTAGTAAATGCTTCATTGCGAAGTAAATACTGCGAAGAATATTCTAATACTTGTAGTAGTAGCAAGTACTTCGTTTTTATTCATACCACCCAATATCGCAACATAAAAATTTAAAATTACCTTTTTTTATTTCCCTATCATTTTTCACCATTCAATAGACTATGACTGTCAAAAATTACTAAAAATTGTACTCACCACTCAATTTAAAAGGCAAACTTCCACTCAAAGGATCAGGATGAAACGGTCTTGGTCCAAACGGAAAATGATGAAACCCTGCTTGACGCGTCTTGGATCTTGGTTCTCTTGGTCCGTCCACTGTAACCTTAATGGCTTTACTATAAGTGGCTACTTGAGGTGGCGATGTGGACACTATAATGGTCAGAGTAAAGCTTTTGCCTGAAAAAAAAAATATATATTAATTAAAACATATTTTCCAATTTAATTTAAATACGCCGCGGATAGATACATACATAAAAATAGGGACGCCAAAAGTATTATTTATTTCAATTTATGCAACTGTCCAAACAAGTGCCGACCATAAATAATAAAAATCGCCTAAACGGTCCGGGCGATAAATAAAAACTAAATCCGACAAACAATGTTTCAGAAAAAATTATTCGAAAACATAAACAGGATATAGCAACATGGAGAGAGAGAGAATGGATCCGAAAGTTTCAATCAATCAAAATAGAAACCGTACATAACTGTAAAATAAAAATTGGTTTACAGTTAAGCTTAGGATGCCTTTTGGACTAAAAAATGCTCCAGTCACATTCCAGAGAATATTAGACTTAGTATATGTATCAAATTCGTAGTAGATTCTTGATGATGATCATGAGGATGAAACAACAGACTTCCTGTGTCCCAAAAAAAAACTGAAAACCTTGAAAAATCATCCATAAAATTCGTCAAATTCTCATAAATCCTGTCAAAAAAAGGTCCATTCAACCGCATAAAATAAGCGCCAGATCCATGGGTGGTCCTTAATTAAATGCCAACATCGCGCTTAAGCAAACACGAGTATTTAAGTTGTTTGCGTTCGCCGTTAGCCCCCGTATCCCTAATCTATGAATTATACCTGAAAGTTAACAAATCCCTGATTTATCGACAGTCCGGCAATAATTTGTCGTATTAGTAGGTACGCCAAACGGCCGTTTATTTTACGTTTTTGGACACACACGTGTGAGACACATTATCTATTTTCAAAGAGAATCCTGAATTTGTAACTAAAATGTTAATTTTTTGATATGTGATAACTAGATAAATAATTTTAAAAAAATTCAATTATAAAGGAAAATATCCATTGGTGTGATGTTTGCGTTTTATGTAAGTCTCCCACCTTGGGTTTCACCTAAACAGCTTAAAGAAACCTTTGAAATATAATTTGCCATATACACTTTTAGAATTTAAACTGAAATAATTAAATTCCGTCCTCAATGAAAAATTCCCGTGTCGACGTCCAAATCATTTCGCGTAGAAATATTAACAAAAAAAAAAAATCTCCGCAGATATGTGATAGGGTAGCCATTTCCGGCTGTCATTTTTTTTTTAGGGAATTTTCTCTCTCTTTGCATTATATTGTCCCTCCAGAATCTATCGATTATCGCTCCTGCATTATCACCGAAAATGTCTTTATTCAAAATTGGAGATATGGAATTCCCGCTGTCAGTTTTCAATAATAAAGTTTTTGTCCGGGGAATATTTTATTTGACTTTCTACCTTTCATTGTCCATATACCAATTTGATGATGGCGATGGAGAATTTTTTCTAAAAAAAAAAAATAGAACATTTACCTTGTAGAGTTAAAAATCCATTTTTTTTTTTTGAAATAAAACCAATTTTAATTAATAACTTTTGACTGGATTATATCAGTTAATAATATTGTTGTCATTGGAATTCGGATCAAATATTTCAATAATTTATCAAAGAATTGATCATTTTCTGGCTAATAAATCAACGTTGTTACTTTACTAAATCTGGAAACGATGGTTGATCAACGTGAAAATCTGCATTTGACAAATGTCCTCCAGACGGCATTAAAGTCGGTTCAAAATCGGATTTCGCCCCGGCAGTATTTTATATTATCGAGGATAAAGGAGGAAAAAAGCCGATTAGATATGAAATCATTAGTTGGCGATTGTTTCCGAAAGCGATTTATCTTCCGATTAATTTGAAAAACTGAAGATTTAAAATGTTTTCGTTGGATTTTGGTTTGCGATGTTTTTTTTTTCTTGTTGATCGTTCAGACAATTTTAATTATAACTTTTACAAATAATAAAATTTGGAATTATTTACACTCAGAATTCACATACCTCATAAGTAATTTTATATAATAGGAATGACAATTAGAAAGTGGGACTCCGAAACTAATCGCCTATATATGAGCAAAGTCTTGAGAAGTCTCATAATGTTCAAGAGTGGACAGAATTCATAAAATTATTGGAAAGAATATTCCAGTCACTAGAAACTATCCCAGGATCAGAACACAAACCAAACCCAATACCTCAAGCTGTCCGATCTGCCAAGACCAACACATAACGTACCACTGCCAGAAATTCAAAGGAATTTTAGCACAGGAAAGAAATAGATATTGAGAAAAACCACCTATTTAAAATATTATTTCTTCAAATTTTAACTTTTAAAAATCGGTTACTGAATAAAAGTAAATATTGCAACCATGTACTGCGCCACAGAGTTTAGGTTTAAGGGACAACAAAGGTACCAAACGGAACGGTAGGTAAGGAGATTAGGCATTAGAATGGAGACGACAGAACGCGCTTGCCTGGTCCCTGGTCCCTTAGAAAACGTGTCGCGTGTCAGTAATTATTCATTATTCAATTTTCATTTCTATTTTGCATTAAAATTAATTGTTCAATCCAATTTGTTATTAGTGTGTGTGTAAGGAGAGTTCACAGGTTAGTGGATTAAATGTTATTTTGTTTTTGAGAGTTCAATTTATGCAAGTTCCTATTATTTTGTTCATTTTTATGTATTTTTTGTTTGTTTATAACATTTTTTATAACATGTGCATTGTTCATGTATTTAACCAAAATCGTTTCATGCTGTAAACAACAGAGATTAAGAGTAAATTAAAACCTAAGAAATTATGTGCTGTCTTTTTGTGCTGAGATTTTGATTTTTTGGATTTAGAGCATGCATTAGAGCCTTGTTGAATCTACTAACATTCTCCTACCCTGACGAGAGAATATCCTAACAAATTGAAATAATCAATCTAGAGATATTGGCACAAAAACAACTATAGCTGAGTAGCTTCCCGTATGGGACCTCAGTACCTGCTGGGAAACTGGCTAACTAACCAAAAACTCTTCAGATTGGAATATAGGTAGTGTTGATTAAATGTAGTGTGTGTAATTAAAATTTTAGCACAAAAACAGGGGCGGTACCTAATTTAAACTTTTATTGACTTAAATTATTGAATTATCGACTCACAATTATTATTTAAAATGACACAGTATGTTTCGATTTTTGGGGAATGTTAGATCGAGGTTTTCTCTGCCGTTCTCTTTTCCCTCGAGAATTCTAGGTCGAGAACGGTACATTTTTCTTTGAAAATAAAAGAAGCGTTTCACAAATTTTTCGTTTTCTTTTACGTATCACAACTTCCCTTGAATTTCCCAAATATTTGCTATGTCGGGCGCATGTCCAGTAAGTAAAGTTGAGTAAGTTTCCACAACGTAGGTCCTATTTGTTTTCTCATTTCATTTTTCAGAAGATTTGTTGTTTTAAAGGTAACAAAATTCTCATCGTTCAATCTTACTGAGCGAACCCGGGTATGTTATACTACAATATGTTCAAAAAAAGTACATCTACTACAACTGTCTCAGTCATGATATCAATAAGAGATATTTCAGCCATACAAAATGTGGCATCTGCAGTCGTCAGCACCACACGCTTCTTCATATAGACAGACAGTAACAAAGTTCTAACAGGCAGCCCAACTACAAAGACAGGCTAACAGTTAGTCCACCGCGAAATTCTCAACGACACCCAACATCAAGAAGAGCTGAACACAGTGTTGCCAGAGGTGATACAATTGTACCAAGTTTGGTACTATTTGTTTTGAAAAAGTATACTGGTACGACGTTGGCATATTTGGTACAATTTTCAATTTTTTTATTGTTTCCAAATTCTCAAAGAGTCTTAGCCTACTGCCTACTTATAGTAGAGTGTTCCTTCTAATATATTTTGACTTTTGTGAGCGCGTCGGAGTTACAAGCTGAAATTTTCACATAATGAAGATTTTATTATGTTAATTCAAAATCCCAAAGTAATATAAAATCAGAACGGGCAAAAGGGCACCATTATTAAAAATTGAGATTATTGCGTACATATAGAATATTAATTTATGACTGTTTTCATATATTTCGTAATGGTAGATTAATCGAGAAAGCGGGTCAAAATTAGTGGAATACAACCCTGACATCAATTCCAAATGCCCATTTTAAGCAGAAACAGAAATAAAAAATATGACACTTGCAAAATAAAATTTATATGAAAATCGGATTTGAAGAGTCACAAATCAACACACTCGAATATTTTATCCTTTTGAATGTAACACTTGTAAAGCAAAATTTGAAAAAAAAAGTCATTTGAAGACTCACCTATTAACACACTTGGATATTTATCCTTTCGAATGTGACCTCAACATAGAGATGATAGGACTATGACATCAGAAACTACCTTTCCATCTCTAGTATTCATGAAAATCATCATCTGATATTGATAACTACCAATATTTTGAAGAGACTGAGGTTCTGACATGGTTTTTACTCCTGACCATCTCCTCACTATCACTTATATGAATGGGAGTATATCTTAATATGGATAATAACAGAGTCACATGATAATGTATTTGGATATTCAACCTCTTGAATGTGACACTTGCAAAGTAAAATTTATACGAAAATCGGATTTGAAGAGTCACAAATCAACACACTAGAATATTTATCCTTTTGAATGTAACATTTGTGGAGCAAAGTTTAAAAAAAAAAGTTATTTGAAGACTCACCTATTAACACACACTTAGATATATCCTTTCGAATGTGACCTCAAAATTTTCCAAATCTTGACATGGTCATGAATAATTGCCCATATCTTTGGTAAATTTCAAACAAATTAAAATAAATTATACATCATTCGAAAAAGCCCTAAATTCTCTATAAATTTGTGCAAAATTAAGTTCGATAGCTCGGATAGTTTTTGAGCAATTGAGCTTCAAAGTTGCTTTTCAGTCCAAATTTTGTCAAAAACTTCAAATACAATTTTGAATATTCTGCCCTTTTGACCGTTCTGATTTTGTATTACCTTAGGATTTTGAATCAGCATAGTAAAACCTTCATTCTGTGAAAATTTTAGCTTGTAACCCCGATGCGCCC